GCCCAGCTGTCAGAAGCAGGCTGTCAGGCCGGCCAATGGCCAGCCGCTTGGCCAGCTTCGGCTTTCAGCACGGCTCAGCCGAGCCGATGCATATGCGTTCGGCTCGGCTGAGCCGCTCGGCCATGATCAGGAGCTGTACGGGCTATTGTGAATAGCCCGTACAGCAGGCTCTCTGTTCGAATTAACCAATGGACTCCCGTAACCGAAGCGGGACAGCACAGCCGAAGCTACGGCTAGATCCTTCGGCAGCTTCGTGAATAGACCCCTTAATTACACTTAATAAAACTAGCTGTGTTGGTCAGGAAAATAACTGTTTTTCACCTTGACGTTGTTCGTTTTACATTTTATAAATCTCTAAAATGAAAGATTGCAATGTTAAACTGAATAATAAGAAACGGTGACAAATACAGAAACTTGCCAAAAAATTTAGTGACAAACTGGCAAAAAGTGGGATGAAACAAATTAATCATCATCAGTTTGCCTACCGTGAGAATAATGGATTATGCTTCGATCAGTAACAATCGCCATAGCAACCCAGGTGGCTGCTATGGGGCCCGGGCACAGGAGGCCTGGCCAGGGCAACCCTCTGATGCCGTGTGGGCTGCCTGGGTCGCTATGTCATGTAGGGGTGATGGCTGTCACTGACACAGCTCAGCAGCGGCGTTTCCCCTCACAGCCGCTGCGGAGCTGTGTCAGTGACAGCCAGCAGCTACGGCAGAAGAGGCCAGCGTTCGCAGTGAAAGGGGAGGCGGGGCCGTCGATAGAAGAGGAGGCGGGGCCCGGGGACGGAAGAGGAGGCGGGACCCGGCGACCACGGAGGCGGACAGCACTGACAGGTAAGAGGTGTGCAGCCCATCTGAGACCCTGCAGAGCGCAGCATAGATAATCTATGGTGGACTCTGCAGGGTCACTCTCAGGTGGGCTGTTTGGTATATCAGGTGGGCTCTACAAGTGGCATAACTAGCAATCACGGGGACCCATACAAAATGTTGCTATGGGGCCCTGCAGGGTCACTCTCAGGTGGACTGTTTGGTATATCAGGTGGGCTCTGCAAAAGGCATAACTAGCAATCACGGTGCCCCATACAACATTTTGCTATGGGGCCCTGTGATTTCTAGTTACGCCCCTGGCTTCGATCCTTGTAATAAAAAAACAACTATTAGTGTGCATGAGTTTTGGCCTAAGCTGGTAGGTCCTTGTGGGGTGTCTAAGTGCGGCTTTAAACCAGCAACTGTCTTTGCTATAGGGAAATAGGCAGAAAGATGGGGAGTAAGTGCACTAAGACAAATGGGAACATGAAGTGGCCACTAAACAAAATTATGCTCTGCCCCATGCTTTGTTGACAAAATTATGAATGAAAAATGCAGAAACAGATGAAGAGAAATAAACAGAGTGAGAAAAAAACAAAAGCAAACCAAGGGGAAGATAATGAGGAAGGGGTTAAAACCAAAACAGAAACTAAATAAAAACAAGAGTGTAATATAAATACTAAGAACACATTTCCGCACCCATATAAAAATGTGTTAAATGGATTATGGGCAGAAGATAAACAAAATAATGAAATCAAGTTAAAGGTTTACATTTGTCAAAAATTTTAAAATAATAAGTCAAAATGGCTTTTCTTAAGAAGCTTAAACTAATTGAGGGGAATTTATCAAGACTGGAGCAGACAAAAACTGGAGCAGATGTGCATGGCAACCAGTCAGCATCTCTCTTTCATTTTCAAATCTTCACTGAACAAACTGAAGAGAGAAGCTGATTGGCTGCTGTGCACAGCTCTCGGGTTTTTGTCTGCTCCACTTCTGATAAATCCCCCCCATTGTGTGTACATTTTAGAACATAATAAATACAAATATAAGCAGTACACCTTCTCTACTTTTTATGGGACAGTCCCTTTTTCCTGCAACAAAATATACTTTGGGTATAATTTATATTTTCTCAAATTTCCCTTCTGAAATATTTGATATATACATTATTCTTCTCTTTTTTTTATTTTAACATAAACAATGTTAGGCAAATTTAGGGACATTATTTGTCTTGAAACAGATATAGTAATTGTGTCCTTTAAGGAACAACATTCTGGTCCAACCAGGATTTGATGCCATTTTTGTTATTTGTGACCCACTCAATGTTGTTTCTGGCGGTTTCCAGTGCTTGCTTCCTTGGGGTCTCTCCTGCCCCGGCATTTGGGTATCTCTCAAAGAAATTCCTCATCTAGAAAACACAAATTATGGATCAGTCAAGCAATTCCTAATTCATAGGGAAATTAAACAGGCGACAAACATTAAACAGGTAGGTTTTTCATGATTCAGTATTTTAAGGTAAAAAATGTCTGTGCTCCCTGATGCAAACAAATATTGATCGTATCATATTTTACAGTCCTTATATGTGGTGGCTGCATATGGTTTTTATCCCACTGCATAATGAAGCATCTGATAGATGCTGGCAAAAAAAAACAATTGGGTGGAGCTAGTGATGACAGCTAGCTCCGCCCAACTGCTTCCTGTTGGCCGGCACCTGCCAGAATCTTCTAGCAGGTCCGGGCCAATGAACAACGACTAGGTGGAGCCAGCTGTGATGTCACAGCCGGCTCCGCCCAGTTGTTATTGTTTAATGACAGATCAGCATCCCCAGGTAATTTGGGGACGCTGATCTGTCATTACAACTAGGTGGAGCGAGCCGTGAGATCATAGCTGGCTCCGCCCAGCTGTCATTTGCGTGGAGATGGGTCTTGGCGGTTCAGCTGTCGCTTCGGCTCAGTCGAGTCAAAGCATATGCCCTCAGCTCGGCTGAGCCACTCGACCACCTTCGGCTGCTGTAGGGGCTATAGTGAATAGCCCGAATATCAGCACTTCGGTTAGACTGAACCAAAGGGCAGAGGTGACCGAAGCGAGCCGAAGGATCAGCCGAACCTACGGCTGGATCCTTCGGCTCTTTAGAGAATAACCCCCTACGTCTAACTGCATCCAAGGCACAATTGCACGTGCTCCAAAAACATGTTATAAACATATGTCAAAAATGCGTTCGGGATTTATTTTGCATACTGCCAAGAGAATCACAAGTTCAATGGCCAATAAATCTAAAATGTTCTTTACAGCATTGAATAATACAGGGATAGATTGAAGGCATAGATAAAATAAATTACTTTGACAATTTCAACAAATTACATTTTTTACAGTGTGCAATAGATGGTACGAGTACGGATATGTTTTTTTTGGTACTTGCCAATACCGAGTACCGATAACGGTGACGTGTGCCCGAATGATCAGGAAGCCAGTGTTCTAGAGAAAGAACACCGACTGCACTTGCCAAGGCTGCCTGGCTTCCTAGCAACAAGTGAAGCCGGTTTTCTAGCCAATCAGGAAGTCGGGCGGCACATCGTGACTCACCTCCCGGCTTCCTGATTGGCTAGAAAGCCAGCCTCACTTGTTGCTAGGCAGCCTGGCTTCCTGACCAATCAGGAAGCCGCGGAGGTGGGTCAGTACAGGCTGCCTAGCAACAAGTGAAGCCGGCTTCCTAGCCAATCAGGAGGCAGGTCATAACCCACTGCCCGGCATCATGATTGGAAAGGAAGCCAGCTCCATGCTCCCTCGCCACTGCTGGTCAGAGGGAGATCTCCCTCTGACCAGAAGTTCCGGTATCGGAGGTAAGCATCTGAGCTTTTGGGCGAGTACAAGTACTTGACCAAATACTAGGCATCGGCACCTATACAGATATTGGTATCGGTGCAACCCTAATAGACGGTTTTGTGTTTGTAGGGCTTTGCTTCCCTCAGGACTTTAACATTATTCTAAATGGATTTATTTCTGTAAGTCTTCTAAACTTTTGAATACGTGCTTGCAAATGTTATTAACAGTGTTTATATGTTAATGTACTATTTCAATTTAATTCAATATTATCGTTGAAGAGTGTGGAGGTACATCCAACATGTGCACATTCTACTTCCAAGCAGTGAAAAACACATTTTGACTTCTTTGGTCCTTTGCAATCCAGACTAAATAATAGAACAATACATACGTGTAGTGACCTTTCCTTTTATTTCAGGTACATCTACTTCTAAAATAGCTGTACTATGATCCTCACAGTACAAGCTGACCTATAATGCAGTGCTCTAAGCAAAGTGTGGTGACTCACAAAAGGCTTAGGTAGTTGTCTGCAGGATCCTGCTGACTTGTGATGATCACTTTCTTTAATCTTTTTTACTGAATCAGCCCTTTTTGATTAATTATGAAATTTGCTGTGTCAAGTCAACATTTATATGGAATGTTTATTTGTTAGCCTTGCTGTTTTTAATGCAATAACTTAATGTCACGTAGGTATACAGTTATATAGTTTTAAAAAGTATACCTCTACCAAATTCAACCAAAACTATGCACATCAGTATGGTTACCTAGAACTTTAATAGGTCAATTTTATTATACAGTTGATGTTTTTTAACCGCTTGAAGACTGGGGTGTTAAACCCCCTTCCTATCAAGGCCATTTTTCAGTATTCAGTGCTGCGGTACTTTGACTGATATTTATTCAGTCATGCAACCCTGTACTAAAATGAATAGTATATAATTTTTTGGGGACACATAGAGCTTTTCTTTGGTGGTATTTAATCACCACTGGGGTTTTTATTTCTTACTATATAAAGGAAAAAGTAAAGAAAAAAAACAGTTTTCCCTAGGTTATGTTGGTAAGAAGAAGACACCAAACATGTCAAGCCTTAAAATTGACCGCAAAATTGCAAAATTGACCCCCAAAAAACTGCCATACCCAAAACTGTCAATGAGATGAAGATGGCAGGATCAAGAAGTTCTATTAACACTAGCTGTAATAGCTGTTTGAACTGAACCTGATCACCCAGCCATGATCTCAGCGGCTTGGCGGCATTCGGCTATTCACTCACTGCCGTTTGGCCCTTATGAGAATAGGGGCGAACGGCAGCGTGTGAGCTGCCAGAGCTTCGGCCTCAGCTGATCCAGATGTTGCATCGGCTGAGTCGAAGTCCCTCTGCACTTCGGCTCAGCCAAACATGCTGAGCATTTTTGGCTGACCAAAGGCAGCTGATGTACGGCTGAAGTCAGCCGCACTGAGCCGGAGTTAATAGCCAAACGTCGTTCCGCTCTGTTCCCTTCGGCTCGGTTATTCACTCAGCTGCCTTCGGCAGCTTTGTGAATAAGCCTGTTTTTTATTACTTTCAACTTTTCACTATTCACTTTATCAATATAAAATGATGCAAGGTCAGTTACACAAAAGTAATAAAATTAAAAAGTATAGCCAAGTTAACTACAGTATACAGCAGACCCCTGTAGATGTTATTATAGAATATATATGTAGACAAATATCCACTAGCTATGATGACTTGGTCAAGTTTGTATTTCTAACTGTGGGAGAATTGTTCCGCAATTCCTGTCTCTGTAATGCCTATACAAAAAAATGGCAGGCTTGATCATCACCAGAATAGACAGCAATTTAAAAGTTGCCAGAGGTTCTAGTCATTCCCTACTCTTCTGTCTTGACAGGAAGTGAGGGGGAAATCTCCTCAATGGTTACACAGATGGGCATAAAAAGTTGACAGCGGGTTTAACTCTTCCCTACTCTATCCAAAATGAAATACAAAGTCTTTGCTAGAGTTGAGCTTTAGCCTTAATGTGACAGATAATATAGTGCAATCTATCATATTTATATATGTACAATGAAATGAACTTACTTGCCACAGTTGAGCCTCAGTATTAAATGTACCCGAGATTCTTGTAACTATACGCCCAAGGTTTCGATCATTGATTGTATATCTGTAAATAAATACATCATTTGTGTTTTTAGAGTATTACAAGTACATAAGTATGTTAACCCTACAAACTACAAATCAATACACACAGCTTTCAGCACAATTTAAGTAATGGATGCAATGTGTCACAGTTAAAACACCATAGGCTCAATTCACTAAGAAAGATGAATTATTATACCACCACTTTTTTTTACCTCATGATAATTCTCTTCTAAAAAATAAATAAATCACAAACATAAAATTTTAGCAAGATGAGCAATCTTTATTTTGGCATTTGAAGTGAACATCTGTTGAAAGCAATGATATCATCATATTATATCAGCTATCGTATTTTTGAATGATCCACTTCTTATACATCTGTGTATATACTCTTTGTGCTAAAACCTTTATATAAGCAGGGAAGGACTGGACTGGGGGGAGGGTAGACTCTTCCTAATAAGCCCCCAGGGCACTTCCTAACAAGATAGCTAGTAGCCCCAAGTGGAGTTACTTCTCCATTCAGCCATCAATCACAGCAGGATACACATTTGCACATGGTGGGACTCACAGTGCTACCTGTTCCCCTGTCAGATCTGCAATCACAGCATCTGGCAGGGGGAAGTCTTCCAACACCGACTTTCTTTGCGCCTCTAAAATTGCATGTGACCATATGGCAAGAGCCGTGTCCTGGTACACTTTCTTTAACCCACAAAAATCTGTCAAAGGTTCCAATTTCTCTCCTTCCAGGCTACTAGACCAGTCCCAGCAGCTCCTTTTACCCTCGACTCCGGCAATCTAAGGACAGCTGTTGTCATCACCTGTAAGGGCCTGTTCACACCATATGCAGTGCGTTCCGGCCGGAACGCACTGCATCGCATTGCGGCCGGCTCAGCATTTCGTGGGGCGGAGCGGGTGTGACGGGCCATTGAAGTGAATAGCACCGTAGCCACGCCCTCCGGCAGCAATGTGATCGCCCGCATGGGATCGCAAGGCACATTGTGTCTTGCTTATAGCTTTTTGACCGCACCGGACCGCAGGCACAATGTGCCCTGCGATTCCGTGCGGGCTATCGAATTTTGGCTAGAGGGCGTGGCTAGGGTGCCATTCACTTCAATGGCCCACCATGCCCCCTCCTGCCCAGCAAAAAAGTGAGCCGGCCACAATGCGATGCAGTGCGTTCCGGCCGGAACGTGGCCGGAATGCACTCCATATGGTGTGAACAGGCCCTAATAGAGGTTTCATAGACCTGCATTAGATGTGAGGATGTTGAGGGACATTCCACCAGCTGGAGCAGAGGAGCAGAAGAGGGCAGTGCTGACCACCAGGAGAGTGGAGATCAGGTAAGGAGCTAGTTCTAGCTAGCTCAGTTAACTGTTTAAAAAAAAATCTGGATGCATTCCCAAATGCACAGAGTATTACTGGATATTGAGTTCTTAGAGGTATATTAAGCACCAGAGATTGTTGACCCAGGGAATATCTGATTGCCTTACGGGGTCAGGAAGGAATTTTTTCCCCCCTGTTGGAGCAAATTGAACCGTGCTTTATAGGGTTTTTTTGCCTTCCTCTGGATCAACAAAGTGTAATTGGGGGCATAGTGTTTTGTTTAGGCTTTTCTTCTCTTTTTTTCTCCATATCTCTATAGGTTGAACTCGATGGACTTGTGTCTTTTTTCAACCTGACTAACTATGTACCTGTGTAAGTTAATCAGTTTTACTCCAGCACTATGACGCATTGCTATGAGCATTTAACCCTTGCAGTCTGGGGGCAGCCCAGGGTACTTTTTTGCTTGCCTGGAGATGCAAACAACTTTTTTATATTAAAGCTATATTTTAATATAAATAACTATTATATTAAAATAGAAATATTAAATATAAACAAACCAAATAAGAGCTGGTATAGAACCAAAGTTACCTGTTGACCAAATAGTCCCAGTTGATCCGTACCCAGTCCCATGCCATTTGTTTTCCAAGCTTACTATATACAGCTATGTAATATATCACATTCAGCGCATCCTGGCTTTTAATAAGATCGGTGTTATAAATGTACTTCAGGTATCTGTAACAAAGAATGACAATTTGTTACTTTTTATTTATATCTAGGATTAAAAAAGGAATAACATACTTGAAAAGGAACAATGAGAACACTTTAAAAAAAATAAAAAAATACAGTCCACTATTAATATTTCTGTATTAGGACTGACTCCATTCAAATATATAAAAACATCCCTTTAAATTACTCATGCATTTCTTTAAATGTTATTAATTCAGCAGAGAAATTATCGGAAGTCTGTCTTTATAATGAGTTACTCAAAACAATCTAAAGATGTGGACCTGATGGAGAACTTCAGGTCCACCTCTGCTGATTGACAGCAGCAGTAGGCGGGTGCAATAGCCAGCCTACTATTGGCTATTCCAATCTGAAATGGCCAATAGCAGCCTAGCTATTCATTGCTATGCTATTTGTTTTTTTTTTATTTCTTTACTTTGACGGAAGCTGTCAAAATAACAGTGGTACTGAGCAGAATAGCCGAGCCGAATGCTCAGGGCTTGAAAAATTTGATAGTGTCTCACCAGTCAGTCAAAAATGTCACCAGTCAGCATGACCGGACTATAGCCTTGCAATTTATGTTTAAAAAGTTTGGGGACAGATAGTTAATTACAACGGCCGGCCGGGAAGCTGCTCGTCGGGCTCCACCGTCTGCTCGTCACAGACGAGCAGACGAGTGGATTTTTCGAGCCCTGCGAGTGCTGCTCGGCGGCATTCGGCTATTCACTTACTGCTGTTCGGCCCCAATGAGAAAAGGCCGAACAGCAGCGAGTAGCCTGCCGGAGGTTCGGCTCAGCCGATCCAGATGTTGGATCGGCTGAGTCAAACTCCTTCTGCACTTCGGGTTGACCGAACATGCTGAGCATGTTCGGCCGACCCGAACCAAGCCGCAGCATGCCGATGTACAGCTGATTTCAGTCAGTGGAAATCAGCCGTACAAGCCTGGAGTGAATAGCCGATTCGTACAAGCCTGGAGTGAATAACCAGTTATTCACACGGCTGCCATAAACAGCTTTGTGAATAACCCTCTATGAACTAGAGAAAGAGGGAAAGCTGTGTTTCAGCCGCATGTCCAGAATAGAGGTGAGCAGCAGGGTATCAAATTATACCGTTTAGAGCACAGGAGTACACTGCAGAACAATTGTAGTCAGCAGACTCTACAGCTCTTTTGCTGGCTGAAAGCGGTAAATATGAAATAGGTGCATGCAATAGTTTATATTTACATGATTGAAAATAAGTAAAATATAATTGTTCTAATCTTTAGTCAGCAACCTAATACATACGTATACTATGTGAAAACAATATTTTCTTTAACATTGTATTAGGAAATGTATTGAAAAAATGTGTAAATAGTCAGGACTAACGTATCCAGGAGTGGAATGCTGTTCGCTGATGCAAGTCCTTGCAGCAACTTTTCCTTTTCTTGAGCCAATGTAGTTTCTTGATATTTCTGAAACATGAAATTCCAGGATGCTTCATCATCAGCCTGCTTCATCCCATAGCGGTATACCAGCTGCCTGAGGTTCACAGCAAGGCTGCAAAAAAAGAGTATAAAGCATTATGATCAGCCTAAACTCACTCTTTATTTAAATATGGATTCTTTTATTTCTACACAGAAACATTACATTTATTATGTCTTAAAGATACACTTTGGGGTTGATTTACTAAAGGAGTTGAAACTCTTTGCTCAATAATACTGTATGTAGCTGGGTTTACTTTGAATACCCAATAATGTGCAATCATGAACTAAATAAATAGGTATTTCATTTTTACATGATTGGATAATTGGAGAGAATCTTCATCTCCAGTGCTTTCCAGCACAATTGCTGGCTCCCTGCGTTCTGGGGCGGGAGGGGGCGTGGTGGGCATTCAAATTGTACAAGCGCTATTTTTTTGCAATCGCGCTGGGAGCACTGGAGATGGTGTGAACTAGGGATGCACCGATACCGTTTTTTTTGGTATCGAGTACGAGTACCGATATTTTTTTTTCAGTACTCGCCGATACCAAATACAGATACTGGAAGTCCTATTGGGACTTAGCCGGGCGGTGTGTAATGACTCGTCGCCTGGCTTCCTGATTAGCAGAGAAGTCGGGTGGCATGTAATGACTCGTGGCCCTGCTTCCTGATTAGCAGGGAAACAGTCTACAAGGTGACAAGGAATCATGGAGACGTCTTTCTGGCCAATCAGGAAGCCGGGGGCGGGTAATGACTCTCCGCCTGGCTTACTGATTGGCCAGCTTCCCGAACAATCAGGAAGCCGGGCGGCAGGTCATTACTCGCCCCCCGGCTTCCTGATTAGCCAGGAAGCCAGCTCCATGCTCCCTGGTGACGAGGGAGCATTTAACCGGCTTCCCAGCCAGTCAGGAAGCCGGGCAGCATGTAATGACTAAAAAGAAACGCATGTATATAACATGCACCTTAGTGTAAAAGTAATTGCTACAAAATATCCATAATGAAAAATCAAATGCACTAATTATTAACTGTGAATCAATGTGATGCAATGTGCAAAGAATACCGACAAGAAAAACGCATGTGTGTAACTTGCACTCCAGTGAAAATAATAAATGGTTAAAAAATGTCCATGATCCTGGATCTTCAATAGTCCATTAAGTAAATAGAAGATAAAACATTGGATGTAGAATAAACTTAGTCTCCTGTGACCATCAACAAAGAAATCTTCTGGAATGCACCTCACCTTTAGCAGAGACCCACCAGGGTCTGTATGCGCTGTTCCTCTAATTCAAAACAGTGCTTTCATACGTTATATCTGACCACACAGATTTCAGCTGCTGCTTAACTTGATTAGAGTAGTGGCGCGAGGTTTCACATCATTCAGCATGTAATGACTCACTGCCCGACTTCCTGATACCGAAAGTTCCGGTATCGGGACAGGCATTGGGTGAATTTGGGCGAGTACGAGTAGAAGGAAGGAAGGACAGTATCCCTCCAGAAGGAAGGACAGTGTCAGCACCAATTCAGAGATGATTTGAGGATCTACAGCTGAATGATACACAAATAAGGTACAAGTTGTTAATAGTTGAGGTATGTGAATGCATTTTTAGGGTTTAACGCCTGAGTTTAGTGTCACTATAAGTTCTTCTTGTGTGCTGAAGAAACAAAGGATTCAACCACTCCCATTCTCTCTACAACATAAAAGCTAATCATTCTGTAGTCCAAGATAAGAACTAGATGGGCTCTTTGAAAAATCACAGCTTATCTAGATTTCCTTCACAAACTCAAATGTTTCTGTTTTGTGAAGAACTGCACAAATATATCTATATAGCGTATATTAATATAATGCAAGTACACATTTACTAAATTATATTCTGCATTATATTATTGTTTTTTCTATTATTTTATTGATTGTTTTTGTTTTGAAAGACTGCAATGCACTAACAATAATAAAATACATTAAGGGGAATTTATCAAAATGAGCAGACAAGATGTGGAGCAGCTGTGCACAGTAACCAATCTGTTTCAAACTTTCATGTTCACAGCTTTACTGAACAAACTGAAGAGAGACGCTGATTGGTTGCCATGGGCAACTGCTCAAGATTCTGTCTGCTCCAGTTTAAAAAAATTCCCCTCAGTGTGTATTATGCTCTACAAAATAATATTATATGTACAATATATATTTGTACAATGGTGCATTATACTATATTATGCTACTTTAATCGATTGATGAAGGAGTTATGTCACATAGTCTAAAGCAGGGGTCTCAAACTCAATTCACTTGGGGCCACTGGACAATTTTTTTTCTCCCATGGGGCTGCTGAAATACACACACATTAAAATATGTACTAGCACATATAAAAATGTACTAACATTGCCAGCATTCTTAGAAGCCCTAAACAAGTATATGATTGTCAACCCACATGCAAAAAACTCTAAGGGGTTCCATCAACTCTGTCTAAAATGCTTACAATAGAATATTTTAGGGATTCACCATTACCTATCAACTTTGTCACTTTTCCAGTCATTAAAAAGGCTTGATGCATTGTTCAGAGCATCAGGGTCTTCCATCTTGCATGCAATTGCCAGAACTAGAGATCGAAGGAGCCTAAAAAGTAATCATACCAGGTTGGAATTACTTGCCATCCAGATATAGGGCTCAACTGCACAAGTGATATTTATTTGCTTGGTAATATTCTTTATTTAAAGTTTTTACATATTAATACAAAACAGACTTCCATCTGGACAGCATATCCAACATAGACATTTCCGCTTGATAAATACATTTAAATAAATATAATTACATGATTACATAACTTATTTTTATTCTCCTAGTAAACAATCGAATACTTCCTTGAAAAGATTCCTTAAATCCCATCTAGTTTAGCTTAACTGTCCCCACATACACATATACAGTACATACATATACATACACACACATATATATATACATACATAACCACTCCCTACATAGACAAAGACAAACACAAACAAACATAAAAACAAAAAAACAGCCCCTCTTAATTTATATACCTCATCATATTAAGACCATTATTAATGTGCCAATGACATCACCAAACCAGAATCTGCATTTGTCTTACATTCAAACCACCCTGCCCATGTTTTATAAAATCTTTTTTGTCCTCTAGATGTTAGAACGATTAATTTATGTGCTTAGTAGCATGAGGTTAACCTCTTGTTGACAGTCATTACATTTACAACAACTTAATTTCAATGTGTTGCAAATGAGGTGGCTGTAAAAATAGGTTGACTTTATCTAGCAAAACAATGAAATCACATAAGATAATAAGGCTATACTAAATTTCCATTGTAATTACTTTATTACTTTATGCTTACTTTTCTATATCAGTGCCAGTATCGCTCCAACCAAGGTGGTCTGTGATTGGTTTTACTTGTCTGCGCCAATACTCCTAAAATATAAAACACATGGTTACAGATGTTTTAGGCTATAAGTAACTATCATGGTCTCTCCTACCATGATAAAGAATGGTTTTTGGCTATTTATTATTTTACAAAGACTTGTAAATGCTACTGTTCTTTTGTTAAACAAAATGCCTGCAAACTGTACCTTTAAATAATCTTTAAATATGTGTCTCCCCCTGTCATGCTATTTACTGTGCATAGGGCTGCAACAACTAATCAATAAAATCGATAATAATTGATAATGAGAATCGTTGTCAACGATCCTCATTATCGATTAGTTGATTCTGATAAGTTGATTCAGCTCAGAAGACACAGAACGGCTGTCTGGTGCCGGAGCCGAGAAAGAGGGAAGCGGTCAGATGCGACGCTGCTGGACGGGTCGAAGAGGCTTGGAGGCAATGGCTGTGTGCAATAGCCAGTTTTCTATTGGCTATTGCATTTGAAATAGCCAATAGCAGGCTGGCTATTGCACCCGCCCACTGCCTGCTGTCAATGAGCGGAGGGGACCTGAAGGAGAACTTTCTTCTTTAGATCCCTCCTCTGATGATTGAAAGCAGGCAGTGGGCAGGTGCAATAGACAGCCAGGCTATTGGCTATTTCAAATTGCAATAGCCAATAGCAGGCTGGCTATTGTACACACCCACTGCCTGCTGTGTTTACATTGCCTGGGTAAAGCTATTTAAGCCATGTCTGCTTGAAGTGGAAAGGTGACTCCAATTTTATCCTTTGCCACATGTGCTCCAAGATGGAGACTCTCATAGTTTAGAGTTAGGACCGCACTATTTAGAGGTGCCTTGATGCGGCTGTGCGGCTTTCACATTTTCTGCAGAAGACGTGCAACTAAACCTCTGTTTTTAACCTTAGCGGTGAGACAAGTTTTTTTTTGCATGCTAGCTGGTGAGTGTGCTGGGAAAACTTTTTGCTGTCTTAAAGAGAACCTGTCACCTCCAATGTGCTATCACATTGTGAGTCCCCACATGTTATAGCAATACAGTTAAGAAAAAAAAACCTATAAAAATAAAAGTAAATAAAATAAAGTTAAAACTACCGAAAAAAAATGAATAGGAACAGAAACACAAGTCGGGTGTACCTATGTACAAAAATGACGATTGCGCTATACATGTCAGTTATTGCTGCGTGCTCCAGAGTTAGAGCAATTTTTTCAATTAAGATTATTTTCAATCCATAAAACTAATTAAAATGTCAAATATAATACATACAGCTTTTAAAAAAAAATATAAAAGGTGGAAAAAAAGTTTTTCAGTTTCAGCCTGACAAATTCTGCTGTCGGTGGTGTGTTACTTGCCATTCATTTCAATAGCACCCCAAACACGCCTCCCACCCGCATTGCTATTGCATTGGAACGCGATGGTACCACAATGGCCTGCATTCCAGTGTGGTGCGGTTGGAAAAAATTGCGCATGCAGTTTTATTCTGAAGTAAACTTTATTTTTGTAACACTCCATTTGTGTATTTTATTTCAAATCAAAGATGATGTTTATTTATTTATTATCCAATTAATCGAAAAAATAATTGGCCAACTAATCGATTATGAAAATAATTGTTAGTTGCAGCCCTACATATACAGTATATCATACACACCTTAGAAGCAGGTTTTCAGTGTACAATGACTTGCTTCACAATTTCTCAACTCCTTGTCCATTCTGGCTACCTTTTAAAAGGACACATATGCACCTTGCATCTCTATTAGACCCTGTCCACACCTAGAAGTTTTTGAGCAGTAGAGAAAGAGCTTCAAAACGCCAAGACAAGAAATTCCATGATTTTTAATGAAACACAGAAAAAAGTACATGATCTTCTTTTGGCAGTTTGCAGCTCGTTTTTCCTCCATAGACCTCAATGGAAATGCCAGGAAACGTGCGTTTTTGCGCATTTGTACTCACGTTCATTCATTGACCACAATATCTCTCAAGCCGCCACTCAAAATGGGTGTCTTCATGTGCGCGTTTTAGCCTGCACAAAGATGTGCGAAACGCACAAAAAAAAGCTTGCAGAACCTGCGCGTACAAATCGCAAAAACGATGATGCCTTGGTGTGAACAGGACCTTAGGTATAATGGTTGAATTGGACAAAGTTATCAAGCTTGACCTTTAGAATCAGACCAGTGCCATAAAGCTTAACCTTGTATAGTTTGTTTGTGATTTGTATCCTGATTTAAAGATATACATATATGTCAAAGTGACATGATTTAAAGTTACATTATTGCATAGTCAAACATGTACCTGAAATTTGGGGTAGATGGTAGCGTCATCTTCCAACATGTCATTTAGGTAGGAAAGAGCAGAATTCATTCTTTGCCAAGGCAGATAATCTTTCTCTTTCTTAAGATATTTAGTCAGGTCGAGTGAGATGTTATAGTCTAGCCATTCAGAACTGTGTGAACAATACCATGAAAATGGAAATATATTATACTGTGAAATGTACCATTTGGGTTTTAATCACAAATCCTTAGTCTGGGATACAAGTGGCGATGCCTTTTCTGGATGGAAGGGTCAAAGTGGCTATTATTTAAAAGAAAATCTTCTGATAACCTGGGTAATTTTAAAGTATATATTAGTCCAATTTTTCTATAATTTTGGAGATAGTGTGAAAGGGTTAGAACACATGTCAAGTTTTTATTGTTATCTGTGTCTCAAGACAGAAAGTGAAAAAAACAAACTTAATGTGAAACAGACAGAAAAACTTGACATGGGTTGTAACTAGGGATAAACTTGAGTTTGTTCCGAACCCAAGCTCATCTGAACCTGGAAGTTAAGCATCAGACCTGCACCATAAACAAAGAGGCAAGATGCCTGTAATATCATTGACTAAATATGCCCTTGTGACCCTTATACTCTTGTCAATACTTATCAAAATCTTCTGTCAATACTTATCAAAATCTGTCCTGAACCTATCAATGTCTTTCTGTCTATATAAATATGTGTTCTTTAATGCACATCTGACCACAGAGACATAATAAGCTTTTAAGCTGGCCATACACTGATCGAACTTCGACTGGTTCTTGATAAACTGGTTGGAATTCGCTCAATGGGTGGCCGTGTCAGCAGCCTTCCGCCCAACATCTTTTGAGGCAGGCCAAAGATTCTCGGCTGAACAGTGACTACAACTGTCTGGGTATTCTGACAGAATATCAGAATACAATAACCAAGCAGGAGATTTGGAGGATGGTGGGAGTGTGCTGATCTCCCTCCATTCCCTGTGCAGAGACCCACTGTTTCGATCCTGGGCCCGCACGGAGGACAGCAGAGCCCAGGATAGCCAGCGGGGGGAAGGCTGACTCTATTGCCATGTAATCACTTGTATGTAACAGCCGTCACCGGCAGTAAACAATGTTCGTTTCGGATGTTTGGGAAACGCCACATTTGTATGGTGGCCTGCTAAAAGGAAGCTGCTGTCTGGACGTTTAATTACAATGGCTGGACAGCAAGTATAATAAAGGCTGCATTTTACTAGTAAAAAAAAGTCACTGGTGTGGTTATTCTGGCAGCTAACTTAGTTGGTTTGTCTCACTGTCAAACAGAGTAATGATTTTAATGATAACCCTATACAATGGATTTTTTTACAAGCAGCATGGTATCCCATTCATGTGAATAATTATCAAAACCCTGAAAAGAAATTCCAGCGCCATGGTGGAATCTGTACTTTGTAACGTCTGACATGCATTTGTGAAGGTAATCTGTCACTGCAACTCTCTGGGGCTTTTATCTAAACATTGACTTTGGCAGCTAAAAAATTAGTTTGCATCAGCTGGTGTTGTGAGATTTCATGTAACTGCCTTTCTGTGATGAATATTGCATTCTAGCAATATTATTACAACTAAGTGAAAATAATATGTAATATCTGCCTTGTAATATAATTTGCTTTTTGTTTAATGTCTAAACTGGAAGACTACACAATTGATGAGAGATTTATTTCAGCGCTGAGTTATATTTGACTAAAGAATCAATGAATGATGAAGTATAATGTTTAACCTTTTTCCATGTTAAAGAAAAACAGAGGATAAAGGAATAAAGTTCAGCTGCAAAGTCACCTTGCTAAGGCAAAGACATCATCAATTAATCCAGCTCGGTCTCCAGCACTGAAGTCCTAAAACAAGAGTCAGACATTTAGCAAGTCAGATGAAAAAAGTTCTAGTAAAGAAAAGAGCAAACTCCCTCTTAATGATGGGCCAAGATGAGTCCAATTAACCTGGATTGGGCTACATTAGGTCCACTCAAACAACAGTCGGAGAAATCAGAATTGAAACCTCACAGCTTTTTGAATTATGAATTGTGACTGATTTTGCTTGGAATTGCATCTTTCTGCCCTTCCACTTAAGTGCTCTATGCTGACAGAGCTGACTAAGCTCCACACCAGGCATTACAAATGTCTTTACACTCCAAAGATGGGGGAGTGTCAAACCTGTTCTGTTACTAAGAGCTGATTGCTGAGAGCAATATTAAGGTGCCCACACACCTTCTGATAATTATTATTGTAAGGTGTGTGGAAGCCGTGCGACCTCTACTACTGTAAGGTCGCACGACTTTTATATTAGGAAAGGTGGCCATACACTTTACAACCCTCGCAAGACCACAGTCCACAGGCTGGTTTTCTAGCATGCTCCTTAGACAAAAGACGTGCGACCGTACAGTAGAAACGGTCGCACGTCCTCATTCACACTGCACGATTCTCGTATGATCGCGGGATCCCACGATTCTCGTACGAGAATCGTGCAGTGTATGGGCACCTGAACATGTTCGAAAACCCGCCGAGAATCGTACGATTTTCGGCGGGTGTGTAGCATGTTTGTAAGATGAAAGCCGGACGGGCCGGTGTGCAGAAGCGCACACTGCCCGTTCGGCATTGCGGTCATCGAAAAGCCCGCCCCTCAGCGGGGCGGGCTTGCAATGATTGCAAGTACGATCTGCCTGTCCAAGATAGGCAGATCGTACTTTTTTTTAATTACCTTACAACCATCGCAAGACAAAAGTCTTGCGATGGTTGTAAGGTGTGTGCCCAGCATTAGACTGAACAGTAATATTAAGACCCATTGCTGTAACAGGAAAGTGGGGGAAGCACTATGAAAATGATCTCGATATTGACTGCAAATCTATTTCTAGGACCTCAATCAGACTTTAACGCCAGAAATAAGTAATAGCAATTTGTTTAAATCATGCCAGAAAGGGACTTTAAAACATCTCCTGAAGTATTCAGCTGCAAAATTATGTAAGGAATTGTAGCCTTTATCAGCTGAAGAACAGATGAAGCCTCATTCAATTTAATGTGAGGACAGTAAAGAAAGAGGGGTGAGGCAGCCACAAGCTACCCAAAAAAAGCCTTGCTTTGGCATGCCTGCTCTACATTATTAATGCATTTTTAAAGGTGTAGAGTTAATTCATCAACAATATATGATAATATCCTTCCACAATATCATTTTTAATATGCATGCAAAATGGGTTATTTATGAAATAATATTAATATTCAACCCTAGTCTCATATAGCATACCTCGTGGCTGCTCTCTAACAGTGTAGCTAGGTCCTTCCAAGTTTGAGCTTCATAATTTACTCGAAAAAATCCAAAGTGTTTATTGTTGATTTTAAAAAACTGTGCATTACTGCTGTTATATGGAGATAAAGTCAATGAAGCATCTAAAATATAAAACACATGTGTCAGTATGGCATTTACAAAGAAGCGTAATATAATAGAACAAAACACTATAATGGGGACAGACAGGTAGTGTATACAAATAATCAATCTTTAATATAATCCATCCTTGTTCATCTTCAAGGTTACAAATTCCCACAGTGTTGGTATTGGAAATTAGGCAATGTTGTTTTATTACAGCAATGAGACAATAACTTTGCCCTTTAAATCGGCTAAAATAAATGAATCCTTTAGTTCTCACTTGTAAAGGCCACATATCTATGAACATTCAGAATCCTAGTTTTTAGCCCACACCCCCATCTGCCCACATAGTATAGCACAAGTGTTCAACAGTTATGGGCTTGGCAAATATTTTTTTTCACTGTCCTATGAACATGGTAGAGTATGTGTGAAGGGTAGTCCAAAGCAACTAATCAGATTTCAGATTACTGTAGTCGACTGATGAAATATATGAATTCTGATTGGTTACCATGAGTTATGCCACTATGCACACTTTACTACTCTTGGTACTACTTTACTAAACACATTGCTCTGTAAGCTGCAATGTCTTAGACTGTCTTTTCTACACAATTTCAGAAAGCTAAAACGAGAAGTAAAGTCAAACATTTTTTTGGCTTTACTAAAGCACTCCTGTGACCCAAAGTCAGCAGATAACAGGTTACTGTCTGCTACCTGCTGACAGCATAGAGCTGCGCTGCAGCCAGGAAGGATCTCCATAATATTGTCGGATCCACCTGGCTGCCTCATTGACAGCAAGCTCCACCTCTCTAGAGCCAGAGCCAGCTGTGCCCGCCCCCTCACTTGTCTGTCCCTCCAATGAGCGCTGGAGAAATAGAGAGGGGAGGAGGGAATCCCTGCAGAGATAAATGAGCCACCGTTCTCTGCAGGGAGAAGTCGTGAGCTGAGCGATCAGGGGTCATAAGATTGCTCAGCTCTCACCAGCAGTGTCCCACACCAGCTCTACATTTTAAGAAGTGTATATTTTACACTCCCAGTACTTTTGCTTTAAAGCCCTGCATAGTTGGTAAAAAAAAACTATACTGATTTGAGGTGTTGGTAAGCAGCAGCGCCCGTAGTTATTTAAGAGAACACTTCGCTGGACAGGTAAGTGTAAAGCATCTTCTATTACTTTCATGGTAATAAGGTCACTTTAACGCTGCTTTTTATTTTGTGCTAGCTTCTAGCACTGCTTTTACCATAATGGCCTTAATTTGTGGCTGAGTGGTTAGCACTCCTGTCTTGTAGCACAGAGTCCTTAGTTTGAATCACAACCAGGGCACTATCTGCATGGAGTTTGCATATTCCCTCTGCACTTGCGGGGGTTTCCCCCAATTACTCCAGTTTCCTACCACACTCCAAGGACAGCTGGTAGGTTAGTTGGCTCCTGTCTAAATTAGCCCTCTTATGTATGCATGGGAGATAGGGACCTTAGATTGTAAGATCCTCAAGGGCAGAGACTTATTTGAATGTGTAATATGTAAGGTCCTTCATAAATTGTCAGAGCTATATACTGTAAATGCCTGTTATATATAACTTATTATTTGCCCCTTAACCATTGGAGATAATGACTCAAATGTCAAAGGACAAAATATAGTAAACAAAAAACAAAACAGGTACATAAAGCTCTAAAATGATTACAGATTCTACAATCCCAGAACGTCTGTATTAATATATATCTTTGTGGTCTTGGAACCCTAGTTGCTAAGACATAAAAGAGGAGTCCTGGTATTCCCAAACCCACAACAGTTAAATCTTCACTATCTATCAAACTTAAAGGGTGAGAGGAAGTTGTATAATACAGAAACATGATTCATTTTACATTTTAAATGTAGCTGCCCTTTAAACACAACCAGAGCCCTATATTCAAATCTTATTTAAAGCTGAAAATCACACATCTTCCACTGATTTACCTGCTAAATTGAACATTAACGAATTCAGCCCCGTAGCATTGGAGGTTGAATAAAATGTCACTGGGATATTCCACTTGTAACTGAATATGTACAAAAAGAAAAAACATTTATGTCATATTTAAATGTAACATACTGTTAGTTTTTCTAACCTTATAGTGTTCATTACAGTGCACCAACATGTTGAGAGCTTCTTTTTTTAGGTGCAAGTCCTCAGCAAATGTCCTCATTCACATGGACTTACACAGCTGTAAAGTGTGCACATCCGTGCAGAGACCTGTGCTCGGGAGGGGCAGGTGCTGCACGTAGCCTCATGCAGCTGTCTGCACATCTCTATGACAGGACCTGGCTACACACCGACCCGAACTTGCAAATCTATACAGGGTATCCATCTGTGCATGTACTGTACATATGTGTAAGTTCGGGTCCTGCCATGAAGATGTAAAGGTGGCTGCACGGAGCTACATGCATCGCTTTCCCTCCCGGATGCAGGTCTCCGCGTGGGCATGCACCCTATACAGTTGTGCATGTCAGTGACAATGAAGCCTAATTTACAGATTATGTAAATATAAGCCTTTTAAATCCTCATGTCTTCTCATGCTTGGGGAGAACTTCCCTTTGCAGCTGAGTGCCTCTTCCTGTAGTGCTGGCTCAGGTTGCAAACCTACACACAGACACCATGTATCCATTCCTGAGACAAGGCAGTCTGCTGCAAAACAGAAGTTCTGCCCAGCATGAGAACAGATACAGATTTAAAAGGAAGATCAGCAAAGAGAAGGGAAACAACCATGGATTACAGTAAGTTTATGTTTATACATTACAGTATTGGTTTATGTTAAAAAATCTGAAGGTTTAATGTCACTTTAAGTTATATTTTGCTTTAACAAAGAAACAGCATGATTGTTCCTTCACAAACAATGCAATAAACTTTTGTCTGGATAACACTTAGTAACCCCTGCAATGGCAACTTAATCATGTTAAACACATGACTGAGCAGAACCTTTTGCAATAGTTGAAAACTTTAAACTGGTCCAAACGAAAAAAAGTGTTAGCCAGACAATGCAAAACTATTAAACAGTTACTGCAGTAAAAAACATCTGTCAGATGTCTGCAGAAGCCTCTAAGGCAGGGGCATCTCCAGCCCTTTAGCTGTTGTGGAACTACTAGTCTCATGAAGAACTGCAAGGTTGACAATTACAGGCCTATTTTAAATAGGATGCTACTCCTGATCTATTTATTTGCCACCACAGCACTGTACTGCATTTCAATGCATTATGAACATTATTTTGTTCTTTAGGATGCCACTGAAAACTAATAGCAACACAGAAATACAATGGGAATGATTTACAAACCATTCTCACAGCTGTTCGCTGTATGCTGTATAGTCCTTGATGGAGTCAAGGAGCATAAGAAATTCCTCTAGTGGCCATGCAGTGCTGTGAATCTCATTCACACAGCACAGAAATGTGTGAACGTTTTATACATCAGTGCTGTAAACAGGGCCACCATCAGGGGGCTGCAAGCAGTACTCCTGTGCTGGGTCCAGGCCCCATCAAGTCAGCAGGAGGACCTGAGCCAGCACGGCTGCCTCTAGGGAAGAAGGATGGTACTGCCCACTTGCCATAGTAACCAATTGATGGACAGACTCCTGTCCATGAACTAGTTACCATGGCAAGTGGGCGGCGCCGTCTGCTGGGCAGTCCAATCAGGGTTCCACCTGCTCTTGCTTAGGCTTCGCCCATCCCAAGATTAAGCTCCGCCCCCGCACCATTCACAGTCCTTGGTGTTTACGGCAAGAGCTGTAGTCCTGCCCTGAGGTAAGCTGCAAGGGGTAAGCAATAGGGATAGTGTAAGATGAAGTATGCAGAATTTAATAGTGTTGGAAGAGGAGGCCAGCCTGCTACCCTCTGTCAACACTGTTAACCTTTTCACCCTCTGCACCCCCTGCCACAAGTAGTGCAAAGTGTGAGCAGTGTAGGAAGAGGGATGCAGAGTTGAGCAGAATAAGAAGAGGTGAGCAGAGTGGATGCAGAGGGTGCAGGGTTGAGCAGAATAGGAAGAGGGGTGCAGAGGTGAGCAGTGCAGGAAGAAGGATTCAGGGGGTGCAGAGGTGAGCAGAGTAGGAACAGGGATGCAGTAGGTGCAGTGGTGAGCAGAATAGGAAGAGGGGTGCAGGGGGTGCAGAGGTGAGCAAAGTAAGAAGAGGGATGCAGGGGGTGCAGAGGTAAGCAGTGCAGCAAGAGGGATGCAGAGGTGAGCAGTGTAGGAACAGGGATGCAGAGGGTGCAGAGGAGAGCAGTTTTAAAAGAAGGTTGCTGGGGGGAGCAGAGGTAACTAGAGTTGGAAATGGGGGGGCAGAGGTGAACCCGGGTGCTGGGGGTCTGTGCTCATGGTGTCTTGGAAGCTGGGTGTCAGAATTTTGGGAGACACCAGTGTCAATTCTACACCTGCAGTAGTGGAGCGATCACAAGAAATCCAGAAGCGGCGCAGAGACCGGGGGAGTCAGCGACAGTATGGGTGAGTGGAGGAGACCTGCACTGATGGACACACATGTAGCACTGCATGCAATGAACGGATGTGTCACCTGCCTAGTGCCTGCTATATACAGTATGTCTGTCAATCTACCTCGTAATGATAGCATAACTGCAAGGTAGATCAACAGACACACATGGCAGGCACCGGGCAGGCGAAAAAGAGTGTATGCTCAGACAATAAATGTATGGGAATACAAATTCTACATGCGTTTATTAAATAAATAAAAGTATGGGAATGCAAAATATGTGTTTCCATACTTTTATTGTATTCAATGCCTTAAAGTGGGAGTAAAATGTGTTCATAAGAAATTGCTAATGGGCAGGTTTTGATAGCAAAGTCTCTTCTACCCAAAAAAGGTCCTATCTGCTTGTCAGCAATTTTTGTTTTTCAGTGCACAGACACAGCATGCTGGAATGGAGTAACTCCCATGCACAATAGTTACATCATGCCAGCCAGGCAATCAAAGAGCCCGGAAGAGGACCCGGAGAAGATGGCAGTGCCAGTGACGGAAGGGGAGAGCAGACAGCAATGTAGAAGGGCATTGTCAGCAAGTAAGTGAGCCATAATGTGCTAATATGCTGTGCATACTAGCTCATTATGGCAATAACCTCTGGTGCTCTATTTTTTTAATAACCACTTTACTTCCACTTTAAGGAAGGTTTTGGAAGAAAACTACTGGGCTTTGGTCTCACTAAGGGTGAGATCCTCTATTCTTCCTGCACATTAGAGCTTGAAAGCACAGAGCTGTGTGAACATTTTATAAATCAGCCCCATTGCATTTCAGTAAGCTGCGGCAAAGCATGTTCATGTGCTAATATAACCGAAAACCCTGCTTTTATGGCCAAAGTCTCGGTAGTCAGAGCTTGAAGCTAATACATTTCTATTAGCCCATCACTATGATGAGCAGCCTTACTAGACAGAAATGTGCAGGAGGAAGGAGGGGCCAGCAAGCTTCCTCAGAATAAATGATGCCAGAGAGTTTCCTATCAGAATGTCCTGAGATTAAACTGTATGGGCAGAGATTTAAGGACTGCTACAGAAATGTGCAAGCAACACCTGGCAGCAGATTTTTCAAAAGCATTGCTTCAAAAAGTAACATACCATTTTGATATGAATGGGCTTTTGGCCAATGGGGGATAAAGCATTGTTTAGAATGGCCACTGTTCTTTACCACCTTTGACTAAAAATCACATCAGCATACAGATCTGCATGCTGATATGAAATCATCTTACCTTCATTATCTAAACAAGCATATTTTTATTTTACTTAAAGGAGAACTATGGGGTCAGTGTTTTTCCCCATAGTTCTCCTTTCCCCATAGTTCACCTAAAAAAAGACACAAACTAGCGTCCTCCCGTTACCCTAAGCTCAGTATACCCCGAGCTACAGCTCACGGTATACTGAGACGCCGCAGCGGATCCCGACGTAGATGACGGGATCAGCCCAGCTGCGTGAGTGACAGCTGACTCTGCCTATCTAGAGGCAGAGCCAGCTGTACCCGCCCCTCTCCCCCATCCGTTCCGCCAGTCAGCGCTGGCAGATCGGAGCGGGGAGAGGTGAATCCAGCCCCTCCCCCTGTCACGGCAGAGAGCCGTGACAGGATCGAGAGGCGAGCGAACCCGGTATGTGTTTGCTCACCTCCCGATCTACTGAGCCGACCTGTGACAGTCTCATTGTCACAGGTCGGCTAGAACTATGAGGTGAGTGGAAATCACTCATCTCATAGTTCTCCTTTAAGGTTTCTTTTTTTCCACTTCCTGGTCCACTTTGGCACAAACGATGTAATCGTGCCCAAGCGATGTATCCTGGGAAGGTTACATCAGCAGAGCATTGCTGGGAAATCTCATCTGTAATCTCATGAGATCTCAGTGAAAGGCATTTTCCTTCCCTGAGATGTTGTGCATGGTCACATGTCCTAGTTACGTGTGCCAGAGTTCCAGGAAGTAAAGGAAAGTCTAGTAATCTGCCTTAGTTAAAATGGCCACTGTCAGAAGACTAGGGAAGAAAAGAGCTAGAAGGCATGCAAAAAAAAAAGCCTGCAATTATCTAGAAGTATGTGTTTGTAGATTGTCATTACTAAATATTTCTAAAGGCGCCTTTGTTGTTATTTTGAAGATATAAAGAGAGTAAAGTTCCTCTTTAAAAAGAGCAATATACCTTTTATTTTTGATATACGTGATGGAATCAGACCTGTGAATACCTTCTATTCTAAGAAGGCTTTACTGTGCTATTCACTGATGCTGGTGGAGGGTATTTTGATTTCTTTTGATAGTCTCAGTCCCTTCTAACTTTAACCTAATGGTTATACTTGTCTTGTTGGGTCTCAAGCCCTTTCTCCATAGATACCATGGTTTCTATATGATGCATGGGTAATGGCCAAAATAGCTCCATATTTTTATGCTATATTTGAAATATACACCAGCGGTTCTGTATGTGAATTTGACTGTTGGGTATGATTTGCATGGCTCCATCCAATATCCTGAAATGAGGAATAATCCTATTTTTGGGATATGTGATGGAATAAGATATGTAAATTCCTTCTGTTCCAAGAAGGCTCTAGTGTTCTACGCAGTTAATCAGTTGAAAGGCTGTTTTACTCCTTTAGTCTCTTCTTAATATAATATTAATGGTTATGGTTATACTTTTTCAATTTTGAGAAAGAAGCCTTTCATTTCTTTCCTTATATGCCTTTATCCACATCTGCTCATTGGTGGTGCTATGCTGCTGCCATGTATTTATGTTAAAATAGAAATTCAGGTATAATACTTACTTGAAAATAGAAGATGGAAGTGATGGATCTGCTGTGTGATCCAAAAGAAACCTTTCCTGCGTAACAGTATTTCCTGATGAAACAATAAGCACCGGATAACCCATCTGTCTAGTCCAGGTATCCATTACTTCTTTTACTGGCTTACCACTTGCCTAAAAAAAAATGGCATTTTATTATAACCCATCTCTATTAAAGAGTATCTAACCCCAACAACATATGCTAATATGCACTGACTGTAACTATGTCTTTTGAGCACTAGATGGCGCTGTAGTGCAAGTCTAGTCAATGCTAGTTTTTCTATACGCATTTTTATCGATGATCTATATGTTTCCTGTTTGATGCTGTTTTCCTGCATATTGTGATGTATTGTTCTCCTAAGCAAGTCAAACTAAATCCAGCATTCCTCAAGATCTTCATCTAAACACATAACCAACAAGAACCAGCTTTCTTTTTTCAGGCTATTTTCTTTTTATTTGTACCTGATGAATCTCCAAGTAACACACTTTCTGTTCCAGGGTAAACATGCTCGCTGTATGTCTGGATGAGCAGCATTGTCTTTTTACGATAGGAAGAACTACAGGACAACCCCTCTTCTCATCATCATTGCACAGGGAATGCTACTGTATCTTCTCTGCCTGGCCACAGGCTGGGGGCATGGGGGTGACCAGGTTGTATTGTATACGCACATAATCAAGGTCAGGGGCTGAAAGTAGATGGGCCAGAAGTTAGGGTCTGCAGTATGAACACTTTACTTTTCACTGCAATTTTTTTGGTTTGTTTTAATAAGAATTTTAGAAGATGGCGTAGGATTGGGGGGTGTTGTAAAGTAGGCACCACTCCATTCTCATGTTTAGTTTACTAATCCGTGGTCAGATTGTAGTCCATTACTGGAGCGAGCTTGGAGTAGCGGCTACTTTACAATACAAACAGGGGCCATGGGGAAGAAAAGTAGCCACTCTGCAGAAGGAAGGACAGTGTCAGCACACATTCAGAGATGATTTGAGGATCTGCAGCTGAGTGATGCACAAACAAGCTACATTTTTGTTAATAGGGCACTTGAATATATTTTTAAGATTTAACTCCTGAGTTTAGTGTCACTTTAATAAGGGTGCCATTTTGAGAAGCTTTTGTATACTGGAGTGGCAGTAGTTCAGGAAATGATGCAGATGAGAAGCCATAAATCAAGAGGTCTGTGTACAGGCTCCGTAATACATATGTGTATTACAATCCACCAGTCACCAATGCCTAAATATATATTTATACTTTCAACTCCTTACCACACAATTTACTTTGAAGGATAATTCACAGAACATGTCCTCTCTCTGAGAAACTGTCCTGAACACTTGGCAACTGTGCAATGATGTTCATGTCATTTTTACCTTTGCCAGAGAATTCCAAAAGTCATCTGTTTTCGCATTCTTGAAATTGTAGTCCTTAAGGTAATTCTAATGAATGAAAACCAATAGAATATTTTAAAAATTAGCAGGGACCAATCAAAAAGATTTTTTCCCTAAATAATAATGATTGGAACACATTATGTTATGTACACCCATGCCCGGATTCCCCACAAGGCCACCGAGGCCCGTTCTCGGGGTGGCAGAGAGCAGGGGGGCGCCAGCATCTGTGGAATCCCCTGAAGCTCATGAAGTTCCAGGCGCCGGGCGGTAAGTTGTTTTCTAAATTTAGCCCTGCTTTGGGAAAGCAGGGCTAAACAAAGCGTGAGGAAGCCAGCGCTTGTTCCCCCCTGCCCCCCCTGCACTTACCTCTCTCCTCGCTGGCTCCGTCTTCCGGGCTCCGCCGCCGAGTCTGTTCTCACTGACAGCCGATGCAGGGAGCAGAGCGGCAGGGTTAAAAGTAATCCTGCCACTCCTTGTATACAGTGAGAGGCGAGAGCAGTGCCAGCACAGTGCTGTGCTACAAGTCCTGTATTGGAGGTGACAGGGTCAATAAAGAGAACCCGTCACCTCCAATTGCTATCACACAGGGAATTGTTAGCTCCTGTGTAATAGCAATAAAGTTAAGTGGAAAAAAATTGATAAAAAAATTGTTAAAGAAATAAAAAAAACTATAAATAAATAAATAAAAAAATTAAAAGGTGATTAAAAAGTAAAAAATAATTAGAAACAAATTATTAAAAAATAAGAAAATAATTATAACAAATAAACAATAATAAGATTTTAAAAATTATTAAACATAAAAATGTAAACGATAAGATAAATAAAAATTTAAATAAGTAAAAAATAAATAAAAATAAAAAAAGTGATAAAGTTTAAAAAAATAAAGAAACAATCAAAAAACAATAAAATGAACTCTGCCGCCCTGCCATCTGATTGCCATTCTCTATTGATGGGGGGCATTGCGGAACCTGGCCTTGGAGCAGCAGGGAGGCTAAATCCGGCCCTGTGTACACCTTTAGCAACCCTCTCTTTCCCACCTTCTGACAGCCCTGTTCTTATAATAAATGATAAAACAGCCATGTAGTAATTACCTATGCTGCAAAATCTAGGCTGCTCTATGCATTTACTAGCCTACACATGACTTACTGTCATCCCCATTCCTGAGTTCTTCACTGTGCAGCTTTATTCATTCCCAAAGTAGGTCCATAATCATGGTGGTCCCCAGCCATGCAGTGAAATACAGATCATCCATAGGAAAAATGGGACTGTGGCATGTGTACACATTAGGCACAGGACCTGGCCGAGATACTTTTGGGATGTGCAGCGCCAAGTGAGGTTTGCTCAGTGAAAAACTCTGGAATGAGGATTATGTACGAAGGGGTACTGAGGGGAGTGCAGAGTATAATTAAAGGAGATTGTCACTAAAAATTAGGGCTGAAACAACTAATCAATAAAGTTGATAACTGATAAGGAAAATTGTTGTCTATGATTTTCATTATCGATTAGTTGGTTGCTTGATTAGTTGGGCTGCTTGCACCCTCAATCCCTCCCCCTCCCCGCCTCACTCGCATGCTGACTGACTGTTCTGGCACTGCCCGAGGACCTGTGGCCTCCTCCTCTCCTCTTCCCCGGATGATCTCCTCCTCCCCGGGATGAATAGGGCCATTCCAGCATCACTGGGAGTCCACGTGAGCACAAACTGACCGTTTGAGGACTGTTCCCGTTTGGGACCCGCGGCCTCGCCCATTCCTCAGCCGCGTTGTGTGCTGTGTGTGTGCACTATGTGTTGTATGTGTGCTGAGGGTATAATATGTGTTGTGTGTGTGTACTAAGTTTTGTATGTGTACTGTGTGCGTGCTATGTGCTGTATGTGTGTTGTGTGTGTACTATGTGTGCTGGGTGCATAAAATGTGTTGTATGTGTGCTGTGTGTGTACTATGTGTTGTTGTGTTTGCGTACTATGTGTTTTATGTGTGCTATGTGTGTATTATGTGTTGCATGTGTGCTTTGTGTGTATTTTATTTTGCATGTGTGCCGTGTGTGTATTATGTTTTGCATGTGTACCGTGTGTTGCATGTGTACCGTGTGTGTGCAGTGAGTGGAGTCAGTGACATAACAACCGGGCGGGGGATGGGAAGACGGTATAGCTGTCCCGGGCACAAAGATGGGTTGGGGGGCACCGGCCGGGCAACAAACACATTTGGGACCGGTTCACACCATCTCCAGGGCATTCCGGCACGGTTAGTGGCTGGAACGCACTGGATCACATAGTGGAAGCCTTCCTGTGTTCTGGGGTGGGAGGGGGCGTGGCGGTGCCATTCACTATTTTTTGCGAATACACCAGATTGGAACATGGGCATTGCTGTGCCATGTGTTCTGGTGCAGGTGATCGCACTGCGGGTAGGGGTGTGTGTCAGTGGTACCATTGACTTGAATGGCACCGGCATGCCCCCTCCCGCCCCTGAAAGCAAGGAGGCTTCCACTATGCGATCTAGTGCGTTCCGGCCACTAACTGTGCAGCAATGCACTGGAGATGGTGTGATCTGACCCTAAAACCTCTAAAGCCCATGACACATTGCACAAGGGGGCCGCGTACAGCAAAGGAAAGCAGTGTTGTGTGAAGCTTTGCGTGCAGTGTGTCTATCAATATCCTCTCCCGTGCTCACGTAGGCCAGATAAAAAATGTCATCTCCAGTCAATCAGCTCACATGCATGAATCCGTGTGCCAGGTCACGGATTCAAGCGTGCAGCCAATAGGATTCCCCCAGAAAAGGCATCTGGTGAGAGGAGTCCAGGAGAGAAGTCCGCTTCTTTCCTTCCTGCACAAGTTCTTTCTGTGGCATATGTGACATAGGCCAGTGATGAGAGCTATGTAGAAAGAATTAATATGAGATGTACATTAAATAATTAATTCATACTCGTATTTAATAATCAATTATTAACTATATAATTAAATAAGTAATATTAATGAATTAATAATTAACTAAATAATGAATAATTAATAAAAAATGTAAATACATTTTTTTTATCCGATTAATCGAAAAAATTATCGGCCAACTAATCGATTATTAAAATAATCGTTAGTTGCAGCCCTACTAAAAATTAATGTTCAAATAAAGGAGGAATTGTGTTAGCTTCCTAGTGAAGTACAATGTGTTTTCTTGTCTGGTAGACTTCCCCTCCAGGACAGATGCAGTCTTGTTGGCACAGCCAGCCCTCCATAAATGCTGCTCAAACTGAAAATTCTGCAAACATTACATCAGTACTTGACTTGGTTGCAGTAGGTGAAGATTTCCCATTACAGATGAACCATATTAAAGGTTACTCCATTTTTAATGTATGGATAATGAAGTTTGTGCATTGCGCAGTAACTGCTACATTAATTAATGCTTTTTGATAGTTAACCTAATAGAGGGACAATACGTGATTTCCCAATTTACCTTTATGTAAGTATATATACAGTATGTGTCTATTACTAACATTTAAAACATTTTGTTGCTGGCAATGTTTCAGTTTTTTTACAAGGTGCAAGTTCTACATTTTGGAGTATATTCACATACACCTTGGTAAGGTTTTTTTTTGCTGTCTACATCCCTGCTAGGGAGATTTGCCCTTTTTATTACTAGGACTGAAAGTGATTTTCTCTCATTTCCTGTTGTATCCACAGGAAAGAAAGTGAAGGTAAATTTGTCTAAAATTACATAGACAGCAAAAAAAAAAACCAACAGTGGTCTTACCCGTTCCTTTACTTTATAACCAAAACAAAATAAAAGCTTGTGGTTAAAGATACATGTTAAAGTTAGCTCTGGATAAAAAAAAAATGTTTGCATATACTTTTAAAGGCAAAATATTGTGGTTTCATTCTCCTTTCTGGTAAGCACTAAAAAGTTGGGTACTACAGCCCTAAACATCTTTGCATCAAGACAAATGATGTTCTCCACATCTATAACAGCTTCAACAAATATTCAGTGTCGCAGCCTTAGTTCTCTATGAAAAAATGAGATGTTATTGTGGCCAACATATATGTCAGATTGTCAAAACATAAATTTATACCATACCTGGCATCCTAATTGGAAACTTTCTGGAGTAATCCATTCTTCAAGCATTCTCAAAATGGATGCTCCCTAAAAAAAAATGTAAGTTAGGCTTTTTTTAAATGACACTTTATTAAAAAAAAAGAAACACCCTCACCTGTGGGGAACATTCAATATTGTTACTGTAGTGCAATTAAGGTGCATAAACAGTGGCAATTGTGGTCTTTTTTAACAGTACAATTTTCTGCAGAAAAGGTACAAATTCCCTGTGTTAGCAGAATGCTAGAGAGCTGGACAGCTGCTCAACACAAAGCTCAGAGGTCCGGGTCCCCAGTGGTCCAATATGGCACTTGCCCGGTACTTCAATCAACAGCTCTTAAACTCCATGAGATGTTGGATCAGATGTTAACGTTAGGGGAGGTTTAGACGTGACATTATTTGGGGTTGGGTTAAATTTAGGGCTTAGGTGAAGAAGAGGTTCAGTGTCAGGGTCACAGTAAGGTAAGTAGGCTAGAATTCAGTGTCAGGGTATGTAGGGGAGTCTTTTTTCTTTACTGTTTTTTTAGGGCGAAAAACCAAACAATAAAGGCTAAAACATGACTTCCCAATGCCAAAACATAACGTAACAAATATAAATACACTTTATATTCATTATATTTTAAATTGAATCCTAAAATATGATTTAACATTTTAAATATTTACAGCTAATCTTGAGAGTGAGATACTTCAGCCACTATGCAATGGCTTTGAAAAGTAATATGGAAAAAATTATTCATATTCTTTGGGCAAGATCTGACCACTGAACTGTATTTATCTCAATGACTGGTGTATGAGAATGTGCTGACACATCTGCGTAATCTTATCTCGTTCCTAAAAATATTTAATATAGAAAAATACATGTCTGATCAATTATTCCCAACAGAATGATCAGGCAAACTTATCATAAAATGCTGGATGTATCAAGTAAAAATATTTTTAGGGCTACGAGCAGTTATGATTATGTTCTGCCAGCAATGCTACCTCAGTAAAGTACTGGCTGCTGTAAATATACATACTTAATTTCAATATAGTTACCCTAGCCACTATCCTACAAAGAGTACAGCAGCCCTTCTGGCACATTCCAGATTTACCAGATTGCCATTTTGAGTCTTTTTCTATTATAAACAAATCTCAAACATTCCATTAAATAATATGATTGAAACCTTGTTGTATGAAATGGCATCAAAGACAGACGTGATCTCCGCTGGGGTCGAGACACTGACAATAATTGGATGGGAGGACAGGAGTGCATCATCTCTCATTACAGGGAGCAAGTCATCAATTAGAATCTGGTCAAGCTGAAAAATTGAAAATATATTCATATGTTGGCATTCTGAAGTCTTGGAAAAAAGCATAGTTAAATATTTAGTTTTAGATCTCTGGGAAAAATGATAAAATGATAATCCTATACTATATAGCAAGGGTAGGCAAACTCAGGCCCTCCAGCTATGTTGAAACTACAAATCTCTTCATGCATCTGCCTCTGGAAGTCATGCCTGTGGCTGCCAGAGTCTTGCACTGCTTAATGGGATTGCAGTTGAACTACAGCTGGAGGGCCTGAGTTTGCCTAGCCCTGCTATATAGTATAACAAAATAAGTCTTTATTTGGAGTAGAAGTGTAGAGAATTCTGCCATCAGCATCCATTGCTGTCCAAAGGAACATACAGATACCCGCAGACCTAACCACATTTAAAATTTTACCCCAAGCTCACTATTATATCATGGCTCTCTCCTCTGTTCCTTCTCCAGTTATTCTCAATGCTTTCTATGAATTAATGAGGGGGAAGGGGGGGCAGGTAAACCACTGGATCGCCTTTCAACCATTCACAGAACGTCTTTAGTTTGAAGAATACAAGGCTATTGTGACTGGATGAGGAGAGAGTAAGGGGAAGATCGTGCATATCTCTTCATCACTGTAGACTAGCTACTTGATCTGTCAGTCTAAACGTCAGAAGCTCATGGGTGACAGAAGTATATTGCATAAAAAAAACTAACATTTTTAGCATCCCTAGTTGTCCATTGGATGTAGTTGGCAAAGCATTTCACATAAATTCTCTGGAGTAATCACAATTAAAAAGCTAACTTTTTCCTGGAGTTCTACTGTCAAGATGCCCCAAACCTTTTGTCCCAATATCAAAGACCTGCTCTGCTCTGGCCCTCATCCCCTTTGACACCCTCTTAATTACCATCTCTGTCATCCCCTTCCCATCTTTGTCACAGTGTTTGCTCTTGCTTCCCATTCAGGTCTTCAAACAGCAGTGTGGTGTGCTGTGCTGCGCTGTGGTGACTTGCGGTGCAAATGCAGCATTGCGTTGTGATCAGGGCCGGATTTCCCACAAGGCAAACCAAGGCCCGGCCTTGGGGCAGCAGGGAGTAGAGGGGTGTGGAATTCCTATCTCCCGATGCCCAGGACATGCAATTCCGGGCGCTGAGCGGATAGTTGTTTTCTACATTTGGGGGCGCATTAAGGAACCTGGTCTTGGGGCAGCAGAGAGCGTAAATCCCACCCTGGTTGTGATATCAATAGGGTACATAGAAAACAACTGTTTTCTATGTGCCCTAGTGATAATTGGCCTTGATCACTTGCTGAAAAATGCCAGTCAACACTAATAACGTGATTGAGCCCTTGAGGAAAACATAAAGGCTACCAATGCTGATTGCCTTGATGCAAAACTTTGGGGTAACTGACCTGGAACAAGTATACAGATAAGGAATTCTGACTTTAACTTTTCATGCATACTTGTTTTGGGTCAGTGACTCAAAGTAATGTAGCCAGAAGGTAAGCATAACAGCCAGGCAACTAGTATTTTCAGAAAGAAGTCAGAAACGGCAGCACACATATTTCTCTTAAAGGAGAACTATGGGGTCAGTGCTTTTCCCCATAGTTCTCCTAAGGGTAACGGGAGGACACAAACTAGCGTCCTCCCGTCACCCAAAGCTCAGTATACCGCGAGCTACAGCTCACAGTATACCGAGACGCTGCAGTCGGGACGGATCCCGACATTACTGTCTGGATCCACCCAGCTGCATGAGTGACAGCTGGCTCTGCCTATCTAGAGGCAGAGCCAGCAGTACTCGCCCCTCCCCTGTCCGTTCCGACGGTCAGCGCTGGAGGATCGAACAGGGGAGGGGGAATCCCTGCAGAGAGCCGTGAGTGACAGTCATGGCTCTCTGCTGGCACAGGATCGAGAAGTGAGCGAGCGACGGTATGTGTTCGCTCACTTCCCGATCTATTGAGCCGACGTGACAGTTTCATTGTCACAGGTCGGCTTGAACTATGAGGATGAGTGATTTTCCTTTAAGGAAATTTGGTCATGAAAAACCGAAAAAGGAACCACTGTAGTCCCAGACATAGCCACCACACTCTACTTGTGAGGTAAATGCCAGGGTGCACATCCACAAAAATATCCATACAAATCCAAAGTAGATATAGAGCCACCCACGGGTTGTGCAGCAGAGATAAGTCAAAGCATCAGCATTTTATTGTCAATGTTTCAACGGAGCTCAGTCCATCTTTCTCAAGATGGAACAGCTGGATGTATAAATTGCAGGCACCTACCTGCACATACCTGCAACAACATCCACAATCTTCCAGCAATGATAAAATAGCTGGGTGGTGTCAGAGTTTGCTGCTAAGCCTCATCCCCACCAATTATTAATCTGTTACTATGATAGGCTGCCTTACTGGTAAATAGGAATGAGTAGAAGACACGGATGGGCAGCCAAGCTGCAGCACTAGCAGGAGTGGTGAAAATTTACCAGCCAGAATGGCAGGGATTTAGTCATGACAGGAGGGTTTTGCAGTTTTCCTACAATTTGCTCCGTTTCCTATCTGATTCTACATATTTAAGTATTTTTAGAATCCTACTTGTCCATTCAATTTAAGGTCATACAATATATAAGCACTGATAAAGGAGTGAACCCCCAAAATGTGTTGGCTATTTTTTCCCATTAATCATTTAATTAAAAACAATTTCTATGAACATCAGTGTCGCACACTTACTGCTTTTTGCATATTTGGGCTACTCTCATGGAACCCCTTTTGTTGGGGGTGGTGTGGTACCCTGTGAGGTATTGTGAGTAGCCTCATCAATGCTTAATGAAACAATCATGCACAATAGTGGATATTAACAACAGGGGATCGAATGCCTCTACTGCATGTACCATGTAGAAGTTTTTTCATTACAAATTGGAGTTGATTTGATAAAGGCAAATAGGCTGTGCAATAATGTGCAAGGGAAATAAACAAAAAAAAGACAGTATTTTTGCTTGCACATGATTGGATGATTAAAATGTCAGTAGAGCTTCACAAAGCTAAAGGAAAAGTCCCTTGCAAAATGAACAGCCTATTTGCCTCAGTCCTCAACCCAATAGTCTTTAAGGCAGCGGTTCTCAACCTGTGGGTCGCAACCCTAAGGCTGGGTTCACACCTAGGCGTATTGAATATGCGCGTTTGTCGATTCGCGGTAAAAAAACGCGAGACAAACGCCCGTTTCCGAGGGCTACTTGGCAGTATCCCAATGGAAACGCGAGACCAAAACGCCCCAAAGGAGTACATGTACTTCTTTGGGCGTAGGCCGTTTTGTATCGCGTTCGGACGGACGGAAATACGGCAAGGTGTAAACCAGACCCATTGAATACAATGGGATTTAGATGTTTGAGCGCTTTGTAGAGCGTTCGTCGAGCGTTGAACGCGCTACAAAACGTTCAGGTGTGAACCAGGCCAAAAGTGGGTCGCAACTCACTGTTGAGGGGGTCGCAGCATCCACTTCTGCTGCGCTGGTGAGAGGCTCCTTAGGCTCCTCCTAGCGCGTCAGTGTCAGTCAGTGGGAGGACAGCAGAGGCTAAGAATATAAAAGTGCCGCTCTACACACTCTAGTGGCCGGGGAGTGTGTACAGCAGGGCTTTTCTATTCACAGCCGCTGCTGTCCTCCTGCCTCCCATACAATGTGAGCTCTGCAGGAGGCGGGAGCCTAAGCAGTGCTGGGGCTGAGAAGGCTGCATGGAGACTGAGTTGGCAAGCAGGTAGCAGGGGCTATGGAGGGCTTGTATTCTTGTGAGTGTGCTTCTATTTTTAGTCCCAAGTCCAGCGCCTTACTAATTCTGGGGGTCACCACAACTTGGCAAATATTACCAAGGAGTCCCATCCCTAGAAAGGTTGAGAACCACTGCTTTAAGGTAAACACTAATAATAATTTACAATAGTTAATGACCCAATGAAATTTTCATTTAAATCTCGAGAGGTGAGGGAACCCGGTATGTGTTCTCTCACCTCCTGATCTACTGAGCCGACCTGTGACAGTCTCATTGTCACAGGTCGGCTTAGAACTATGAGGTGAGTGGAAATCACTCATGTCATAGTTCTCCTTTAAATACATTTAAGGTGCATCACACCAATGGATGCACAAAGTCTTACAGATTGTTTTATTAGAAAGTATCTATACAGTACAAAACCTTGTCCCCTGCCAGCATGCTCTACATAAAAACTCTCGCTATGTTCACGGAAACAGTGGTCTCTCTGCAGAGGTCTGTCCCGTGTCAGAAATAAAGGTCTCCAAGCAGCACAGAGAACAAGCTTAGCTGATTGGAGAGTTACAACTTTGACTCAACAAGGGGGTATGTTGGATCCCTGCAGAAAGGCCACTGCTTTCACGCAGTGACCAATGGTTTTGTTTCTATTCAGTCTGTGGCTGCTTTATCAATAAAAGAATCTGTAAGGCTTTGCACACCATTTGTTGAATTCAAACTGAACATTTAACGCTAAGATCTAAAATAGTGCTCAACTCTTCCTGACACAACCTGATGTTCAAACGTCCGTTTGTAGAAGGTATTCCGAGGTGTTGGCGAGAATCACGCTAGATTACTTAGTCTATAATGCGAGCAGGCTAACCCTTTTGACATATTCCTTACACACCATGTTTATGCCTATCATTTTGTGATATGTAAGCTGATAAAATCCAAATATGCATACTGGCCTTAGGTTGCCAGTGCCGACCCAACAATGTTATACTCTTGACCCCATGTATACATTGCCATGTATTACAATGTTTGAGTAATGTTTTGGACTGTTTGAATACTGTTGGAAAACTAATAAAAACTAATTCAACACTAAAATAGTGCTCAACGAAAATGCACGGTACTTTCCTTCATGAATAAGAATGTTCCTTAAAGTGACTTTAAAGTCAAAGATATTTCTCCCTTTCCCCAATGTTAATTAAAGCACTTACATTAAATGTTTCTTAATCCGATCTCCTTCTTCTTTCCTGTTGTTTTCATCTGTCCCTCCAGCGCTTCTGCGGGTCTCCGATCCAGCGCTGACTCCTGTGAGCTTGCTGGCACTTCCTGTCCCACGGTGTCTGCATGCGGGTGCACGCCGTCCATATACTTACCTTGTGTCTCTCCTCATCTCCCGGCCGAAAATGTGAACTGCGCATGCGCCCGCCCCAAGATGCTTTGCAGCTGCTGAAGAATTTTCACATTTTCGGACGGGAGTGCGCGGGGAAGACACAGGTAAGTTTAAACCGCTTTTAAAGCGGGTTGTTTTTTTAAAAACACTTTTTGCATATATCTACTGCTTGCTAGCAGTAGATATATGCAAAAACAACGGAGGATTTAATAACCCTTTAAGACAGAGGAAATGCACACATTTCTTCATAACACATTGTGATATTGTATCTAACAAAGTCTTCTTCTCCGCTAAAGCCAAGCTTACCATGTTCCATGTGGGTTCAGCTTCTTTCACTCCAACATATTCAAAGAAGCTGGCAAAGCCTTCATTAAGCCACAGGTCATCCCACCAGTCCATCGTGACTATGTTTCCAAACCACTGAAAAAACAAACACATTGGGGACCTTTACAAACATTCCCTCCGGTCTCCACTCCTCCCAAAAAATAAACATGCTCAGGAGAGTGCTAGCTGAGTGCCAGATATGAAGAAAAAACATGCACAATTATAAAACAGCTGTAAGCTAAAGAGTTTGTTTTATAAACAATACTTAAATACAAAAATAAGAAGTATACATTTGTAACAGCTTATTTATTACAGGGAAATCACAGCTGTACAGACATCTGCATAGAATCTTAGCTATAGATGTTTGCTGGTGTAATCAGAGAACAGAAAAGGTTTGAATACAAATAAAAAATAATTTCTCAAAATTAAATTTTCAGTAATTAACACTAAAATCATTATTAACGCAGACAATCACAAGATGATGTAAAAAAATCCTGTAAAATATCAAAGAGTGTGTTTTGTGAAACAATATGAACTGAAGGTGTGCACTGCTGCAAACAAGCACCTTACAATAAAGAAGAACATGTTTTAGTATAAAATTATTTTAAACCTCTAAAGTGGATGAGGATACCTAATATGTTTAGTGGAATAGAGGTCTTATGTACATCTATACATCTTGTGAAAGTGTGCGTTTTACACATACAGTATATATGTGCTGGACAACTACGTTTATATATA